GTGTGGTGTGTGTGTGTGTGTAAAGACTGGGCTGCTCCCCCCCCCTTCTGATTGCGTCCTTAGTGAATGCTAAGTGGTACTGCTGAACCCCTGAGTAGTGAGCGCCAACCTCCGACCAGTGGGTGTGGGCAGTGAGAGGAGGCACTGATGGGAGCTGATGATGAGCAGTGTTGAGAGCTGGTGGGGGCCATTTTCCTCTGGCTTGCTCAGCTGCTGGGCAGGAACAAGCACTGAATCAGCGCTGATCCACGCTGGCATCTGGCAGGTGAGATGAAGGGTTAGATTTTATAACATCTTTGAGGGCCATCAAGCTGGAGAGTGACTGATTAAACAATGAGCCAAAGACAATAAAGAAAATACTGATAAGGGGCTGGGTTGTGGCTCAGTGGTAGAGTGCTCGCCTCGTAGGTGGAAGTCACTGGGTTCGATCCTCAGCAACACATAAAAATAAAATAAAAATATTGTGTCCATCTACAACCAAAAAAGAAAAAAAAAGATACTCCAAACACTTGGGCTCAAGTCTTGGTTAAAACTGTAAACATCACAGTAACTTATGAACCTAGGGCCTGGCACATGCTAGGCAAGCACTCTACCAGCGTTACATACAGCCCAATATAAATGCTTTTGAGAATCCTTAGTTGTCACTGGAAAGATGAGGGCAAACCCAGAATCAAGTTACCACAGAGGCAGGAAGGCATGGGCACATGCACACATGAGAGCACAGCACAGGGAGGATAAAGAACATAAGTTAGAGTTCACCTATACTGTATCTTGTCTTCATGAAATTGAGTACCTGTAGGTGTGTCTGCTGTGACAGTTTACTTTTTGAACGAAGACATCCTAACAATGTAATTTTTAATCTTAAAGGTAGGATTTCTACAAAGCCTGTTTTTTCATGTTTCTTGTAGGAAACTGAATCCACTCAACATGAGTGTGTTATAGAAAATTGCATTTTTCAGATGTTTAAGAAATGAGTTTAATCATCTGGGTTGAAATAGTCACTGCAGTGCCCGTGTGTATAATTTGCCATCTTTAACCTCATTAACTTCATTTTATCTCTATTACTTCATAAGTGTTGATTCACCTGCTTTTCAGAAAGAAAACCTTTTGTCTTGCTTTTTCCCTAGAGTCCTGATGGACCAACACAAACTCCACCTCTAAAATATAACACAAAGAACGATCCTTTGTTGACAATAATGAACATTTACTAAAAGCAGGGCTCTGTCCTCAGCATTTCCACATACATTTTCTCATTTGGTCCTCACAACAGCCCTGTGAGGTAGGCACAACATTATCTCCCCCTTATAGATGAAATTGAGCAATGTCCCCAACATTGCTACAGTCTAGCAGCAAACTGTATTATGAAGAATTGTTTGGCTTGGAGAAGTGAATGTTCTGGAAAGACAGCCATAATATTTGAGTGGATTCTTTGTAGGTAGAGTGATTCACTCCTTGGATCACAGTACCAAAGGTCCTAAGGGTGGAAGTTATAAGGAGAACATTCAGAATAAAACAGATTTTCCCCTACAACAATGAAATGCTGGAGAAGGACTTTAAGACCTTGATGGGAGTTGACATAGATGGCCTTGAGGGTTGACTCTCAGAGTCCACTAGTTTCTACTTCCTCTGTACTCTACATTGCTTTCAAATCATCCCTTATCTTCATACACTGGCACATTCATGTTTGTTTTCATTCAGTAAACATTTCCTGACCTGCACTGTCCAATGCAGTAACCACACTGTGACTACTTAATTTACTAAAATGAGAAATTCTGTCCCTTAGCTGTGCCAATCACATCTCAAATTGTAACCAAAAGCTTCCTTCACTGTCCCCAATGCCGATGAAGGCCAATTTAATAATGAGGACACGGTTTTGCAGAAAAAGGAAAAAGAAGGTTTATTGCTTGCTAGCAAAGGAGAAACACAGGGGACTCCTGTCCCAAAGGTTGTGACTCTGGCGGTCAGGAGGAAGGGGGGTGGGGTAGTGGTGGGAGGGTGTTAAAGGAACTCTACAAGGGTTACATTCCAGGTGTGCTCTGGTAGGGGTCCCAGGGCACCCAGCTGGTCTGTTAGGATTCATTTGCAAATATGGGAGATATCTACCGGGAGAGAGGGGAATAGAAAGAATACATTTTTTTTTTTTAAACAAGATAAACCTTAGAGCAATGAGGGCTATATTCAGAAGGCGAAGGGACCACTGTTACAAAATGCTCAATAACCACACGTGCCTAGTGGCTACCAGGTAAGTACTATCGGACTTTGCTGTTTGGTCTGTTAATGCGGAGATGGTGGTCACAGGATGAAAACCCCGAGTTCTTGCCCTTGAAGAACTGCACAGCCTTGTGAAGAAAAAAGAAACAAAACCACACACCCCAACCCGAAGCCCCAACGTAGCCCATGAGGAACCATCACTTGGGCAGCTCCTGCTGTAAACCAGGCCGTTTGCTGGGCACTCTCCGTGCCCAGCGGGTCCCATTCTTCTCACATTGCTATCATTACGCCCTCTTTACAGAAGGTTTAAAAAAAAAAAAAAAAGCAAAGTTAAATTCTAACTGGTCCACAGCAAGTGAAGAGTGTCGCAGGGCCACAAAGACGGGACAGCGCCAAACTCCGCTCGTGGGTGGGCGTTCTGGAAGGTCTGGAGCCAGACGCGCCCGAACCCGCCCGCCCGCCCGCTCCACGTGTGGGCCCGACCACCTTCCCGCTGGGAGTCTCCCGGGCCGCTCCTCAGACGCCCGGAGCCCCGATCCCACCGGAGGCCCGGGGGCGGGGTCCGCCCACCTTCTCAACAGGGTCCCCGCGGCCGCCCGGGCGGTTCTTTTCTGGGCTTTAAACGGGACTTAAGATCCCCTGGCCCGCGCCGCAGGCTCCCTCGCTCCGTTTTCCTCCCCTCGGCTTCGACCGCGGCTCCAGGCCCGAGCGTGGAATTCGGGGCCGGCGGGCCGCGGCCTCGCACGTCAGCCGCCTGGCGCACAGTGGGCGCCGGGCACACGCGGCCCCCGCCCGGCCGCCCGCGTCCCGCCCGCCGCGGCCAGTCCGGGCTGCCTACCCTCGCAGATCTGCTCCCACAGGTTTTTGCCCGATAGCTCGGCCACCTGCCCCGGCGAGACAGGCAGCTCCGGGGACGGGGACGACAAGGTGGGCACTGGTGTCCGGGTGGCGACAGACGATTCGGCGGAGCCGCTAGGCTCCATGCGCTGAACGCTGCGGCTTGAGGTCTGCCGCGACGCCGCCATGGCTGCGGTTTCCAAGACAACGGCGTTCACCGAGCGGCCGCGAACCGGAAGGGGCCGGAACTCGCGGGGATGGACCAGCGACTCGAAATTGACTTCCGGGTCACGGCGGCGCTGGTCCTCACGTGGAGGCGGGGAGGTTTGGCCTGCAGGTAAGTGCGGGGCGTGCGGTGCCGGCGGGCCGCGGGGGGTGTGGAGTTTGGGCCTGAGGGTTCCCGCGACCGAGAAGAGGTCGGGGAGCAGGATCCTGCACCCCAAGTCCCGTCCCCAGCTGCTTGTGTGCGCCGCCGCGTTCAGGAAGTTCTCCCGCCTTGAAACCGAGCCGCGGACCCCGCGGAGGCCGTCGCTGCGTGCTTAAGCAGAAGCTTTGACCCCGCGGGGCTTTGGAGGGAGCGCCCCCCCCTTTGGCTCGCCTGCGTCGTGCTAGTGAGTCTACGGTGGGAGTGGGGTGTTGGTTGGTGCTCGGGCTCTGGGGTCTTGCGGTCTGGGTTCGAATCCCTGTTTTGCCACTTGCTGAATTTAAAACGTTGGACGGGTGAACTAGGTCGCCAACGCCTGTGAGGTGGGAGAGTCACTTCAGTCCTTAGGAGACTCTGGCGGACGCTTAAAAGCGCTTTTGTAGAAAGCGTTTGCAGAAGATGCACCGTATGGTTCGTTTCCTCTTCCCTTCTGACTGCAAGAGTGCATACGTCTGGGGTCGGAAGGCCGAGGAGGAGGATCCTGCATAGCTCTGGATGGCAGAGATGGAAGAGAAGCCCATCTAAGTCCTGGTGGCTTATTTATTTTTACTAGCTCCTTTGACCACTCCTCCATCAGGGAGCCATGTGGGCTTGACTCCACCCACTTCAGGTTTGCACCTCCTCCGCCCACCTGTTTATCTTCAGCTCTTAGGCTCATGATGTTCCAGTCTTGATTGCCAACCATATGGTCCTGTTCACGTTACCCGTGACCAGTGCAGTCACCCTGAGCCTCAGACCCTGTGTCTGTATGTCCAGCGAACATCTCCACTTGGATATCTCAAGGCATCTGTTCATGCTAGCCTGTTTCCTCCAGCTGCCAGCCATCCTGCCATTGCTTCCTTTGTCTCAGAGGCTGACATCATTTCCTTAAGTTGCCCAAGTTGCCGCTGTTCCCCAGAATCTTTCTTGACAACTGGTAGTAAATCCATCTTGCAGTCCTCACCACTGTCCTTTCTCTTGTGTATTATTGTTATGCCTCTTCCAAACCCGCTGCTTTTGATGGCTGATGTTTTGTCTTTTATCTGTATTTCTAGCATTCATTTGTTGACTATTTATTGAACACCTGCTGTCTGCCTGAGATAGGCTCTGGGAATACACCAGGAAATGGGGCCAAGAACAATAAATGAGCACCTGCCTCTCCAGGTGCTACTGGATGGTGTAATGAATGTACCTGAGATATAGCTCAGGCCTGGCCTGGCTTTTTGAGGCTGCTAAGTGTGGGTTGAGTCCAGTTTGAACCCTCCAGCTCTGAAGCCAAGGAGTGCTGCGGGGTTTTCTCTCTGACCAGCCAAACCTACAAGGAGATATTTTGTTTCTAGATTCTCTGAATGTCTCCTTTTCTCCTAGCTCCTGTGCAGGAACTAGTCTGGTGCCTGGAGCCAGAGAAGTAGCCCAGGTGGAAATTAAAGTGTTTTAAGAGTCTTAATCCCTTCTCACAGAGACTTTCATTTGTCTAAGAAAAGGTAGACATTCTTGGTAGCTGTGTCATTGCCAATCATTAAATATTGGCGATCATTTTGAAATTAAAAAACAGTGAAACAGTCCCCGGCATGATGGCACACGCATGTAATACCAATTGCTTGGGAGGCTGAGGCAGGAGGATCACAAGTTCAAAGCCAGCCTTGCAATGGCAAAGCGCTAAGCAACTCAGTGAGACCCTGTCTCTAAATAAAATACAGAAAATAGGGCTGGGGCTGGGGCTCAGTGGTCACTCTGAACTCAGAGTGCCTCTGAGTTCAGTCCCTGGTACCCCCTCCCCCCTCCAAAAAAAAACCCAAAACAGTGAAACAGACTTAAAGCAGGATGTGGTTCCTACTTTGAACAGCTTCTGGTTTATTAGAGTTCTAACTGGGCTCCTCCTCTCACTGTGCCATGTGGAAGGCAATTAGGAGGGTATAGTTAACAAGAGTGGAAGGGGGAATGTTCGCTTTTAAGTTCAGAAATGAATTTGGGCTGTTTAGATAACCCAGAGTAGGAGCTGTGTTTATTGCCTCTGGTGGGATTCAGCAGGAGGGGTTGACCACTTTTCAGGATTTCTGTCTCCATTCAGCAAAAGGTATGTCCCTGTGGGCAGCTTTCTGACTTGATAACACTTGTACCCTCTGGGGCTGGCCCAAGATAGGTTTTCTGTAAGTATTTGTTGAATGAATGACCAGAGGTTAAAGGAAACGTGTTAGAAAAAGGGACTGACAATATTCTAAGCACTTTGCATGGATTATCTCATTTGTTTTCTCTAATATCCATTTGAGGAAGGAGGTTGCATGCCCCATCCCATTTTCCAGATGAGGAAACAGGCTCAGAGAAGTTAGGGGGTTGGTTCAAAGTGGCAGCAATTTAGATTTGAACCTAAGCCTATCTAAATGAAAACTTCTGCTACTTCTAATAGATCTCTCTTTGCTCCAAATGAATCCTGGCCATTTCCTTGTTCACAGTCATTTCAGACCACCCACTCAGACACACGGTTTGTGCAGAACTTAGTATTGAACCACAGCCGCTGGATGTGGTGATATAACTTGTACTTTTTTTTTTTTTTTAAGGAATGATCACCAAGACCCATAAAGTTGACCTGGGTCTTGGGGTCCCAGAGAAAAAGAAAAAGAAGAAAAAGAAGAAGGTGGTCAAAGAGCCAGGCACTCACTACTCAGTTTTAAGCTGTGACGATTATTTTGTTGATGCTTCTCCTGTTAGGGCTGCATCCCCCTCTAAGAACGTGGGCCAGGCGCAAGCGCATGAGGTGCCTCTAGTGAAGAAAAAAAAGAAAAAGAAGGGCCGCGGCACCCTTTTCGAGGAGCAGCTGGATTCGGAGCCCAGGCTGAGTGCCAGACGGACAGAGGCCTCACCCAGCCGCTGCAAGAAGCAAGCCCTTGGCCGCTCGGAGTCCTTCAGCAAGGAGAAGAAAAAGAAGAGGAAGTCTTCATCGCTCATCCCGTCCCATGGCTCAGTGACAAAGACCTCCCAAGACACCAGAAACGGTGAGGAGGTGACCAGAGTTGGGAAGAAGCTCAGAAAACACAAGAAGGGGAAAAAGTCCGAGGACATTGCAGCCTTCTCCAGCCAGGACCCGTGGCTCTACGAGGCTGGAGATGCCCCCTATGCGGGCTCCCTGGAGAACGAGGTCCAGGAGCAGGCAGCCTCAGGGCAGAAACGGAAGCAGGGGAGCCCCAGAGAAAGCAGCGCAAAGCTGAAGAAGAAAAAGAAAATCCATCAGGAAGGAGATGCCCTGCTGGGCCACTCCACACTCCCCAGGGCCACAGAGAGCAGCCCTAGGAAAGGGAGGAAGAAGAAGCCGGTCTCAGTTGATGTCCAAGAATACATTCCAATAGGAGATGGCCCTTTATCCCCAGTGAAGAAGAAGGTGAAGTCCAAGAAGAAGGCAGAGCAGCCAGTCGTAGAGGAGCTGACTCTGAAAAGGAAGAAGAAGAAGAGGAAAGAGAGTGGGGTAGCAAAAGGCCCCTGGAAGGAGGTAGGTTTCCTTCAGAAGTGGACTGTGCACTGGGAGGGTAACATGCAACTGGGAGAGAGCGTGTGTGTGTACCTGTGTGCACTTTTGCACATGGAAGGGTACTTATGCTTTGGCACTTCCTCTTCCCCAACCCCTGCCTCCTGCAAGAGGATTCCATTAACTAGGCTTTCACCCTAGTAGTTCCGCCACCTCCAAAGGAAGTGTCCTAGTGCTAGTGCCTCGGCGTGTTAACCCTGTCACCTTCTCACCTGTCTGGTGGGTCAGCTGTGCGGGTCATCCCCATTTAATAGACACGGAAACTGAGGCCCAAGGGAGTTGAAGGCCTTGTCTGAAGTCATTCAACTGGTGAGAAGTAGAACTGGGGTTCAGACCCAGATTGGCTAGTTCTGATGTGGGTCTCTTTCCAGAATCCACCAGGGTATCATGTCTTAGAAGCCATTGTCATTGAAAGCCAAGAAATGACTGTCTTCCATGAGGATAAGACTTTCATGGTGACTTCAGAGTGGCTGTCCCCTGTGGCCCTCAAGTAGTTGTGATGAGCACTTCCCTAGTGGTGGCCTGACCTGGGGACCGTCTGGAGCTGACCCTTACACATCTGAGGCCCACACTCCGCTTGCCGGGTCAGGCTGGGGGCCTGCGGGAGGAAGCTTGGGTGGGTGGATTTCTCCCGCTGTGCTCTCATCCATCAGGCTCCTTTTGCTGTCATCTTTATCTAGAAACTTGGGTCTAGGAGGAATCCTACAGGCCTGGAGCCAGCCCCTGTTATATATGAGTCCCATTCCCCAGGAGCCCCGAGAAAGGTGTCCCCTCTGTTTAGCATCCGCCCATGGATGCTGCCTCTCACAGTAGCCTGCTGAGTCGGCAGGTGTGCGCGTGCCTACCAGGTGCAGTCGGGGTGACCTGAGTGGGGTCATCCCTGGGTCAGCACACGTGTGCTGGCAGTTGTGACAGAAGGATCGAGGTAGTGGGCAAGCCCTGGATCCCCCAGGGGCCTGGCTAGAGGGAGTCAGGGCAGGCCTGTGTGGACCTCTGCCTCCCTGCAGAGGCCCCACGTGGCGAGTGGAGCAGTGGCATGGTGGAGGTGGGCAGAGGCCAGGTACAGGGGTCCCTAGAGGCCTCAGGAGTCTAGACTCTGGTGTGAACCAGATGGGACCCCTTAGGGGGTTGAGGGAAGAGGACATGCCCTCCATTGAGATTTTAAAGTGCACCTGAGTTTCAGTATCAGTGGAGCTGGGGTGAGGGCGGGGAACAGGTAGAAAAGGCTCAGGTGGCATTGTGGAGGACAGAACTGGGTGGTTGAAGCAGCCAGAGTGCTGGCAGGGCCCCACAGCCAGTCCGCATACCCAGGCTCCTGCAGCCCTCTCTGCTGTCAGCCGGGCCTGCACCTGCCCTGTTCTTGCTGGTTTGGTGTCCCTGAGGGAGGGCTCGTGAGGAGGCTGCACACTCAGCTGGCTGTCAGGAGACCTGGCTGGAATCAGCCTGTCCCTGAGCCTCACTTGACCTTTCTGAGCCTCAGTTTCACTGTCACGTAGCTTAATGCCCACCATTTTGGGAGGAGAATTTTGGCAGAGAGAGGAGGGGCAGGGCTTTGTTGACTGTGAAGTGCCGTCAGGGAGGCAGGGGCCCCCGTGGCGCCATGGTCTGGGATCTCTCTTGAACTCTGCTGTGACCTCACCCAGCTGGCTGCTGGGCAGAGACCATTCACCATGCACCTGAACCTGCCCACCTCTGCCCTCTCGCGCAGGAACCCGACACAGACTTGGAGGTGGTGCTGGAAAAGAAGGGCAACATGGACGAGGCGCACATAGACCAGGTACGGCTCTGTTCTCCCTGGGGCCCTCCTGCTGCCTTCTGCCACCCCCTAGGAGCACAGGTCACAAGACCCTCTTCTCAGAGGCACCAGGGTCTCCAAAGGCTGCGTGGCCTCCTCTGTGTGTGCCCCTCCCCACTTCATGCAGTTGCTGTGTGCTGCCTCAGTGCTCCAGGCAGGCAGCGGGTGACGGGGGGATGGAGCAGTCCTCTTCTGTGGCCCCTTGACCTAGGAGAGGAGAAACTAAGGGAGCATTTAGAAGTGCATCGAGTCTGGGGAGGCCTCTCAGGAGAGACGGGAGAGCACCAGGGCTGGTTGGTGCTGGGGCACTCCCTGGAGCTATGACCTTGTGGTGAGGCAGAGAGGAGCAAGGAGCAATGAGGTGACTTGCCAGGGCCTCCATGTAGGGCGTGGCCAGAACACCAGCTCCTGCAGAGCAGCTCCCCAGACCCTGCAGGTGCTTTCTCTGGGCTCATTGGGGCCAAGGCCAGAGCCATCGCTGCTGGAGCTGCTGGAGTGGGGCTGGGGACCACGCAGAGGGCAGCAGTGGGCCTTGACTGATGAGCCCCAGCCCAACCTTGGGAGCGTGGCAAGATCTGGACCTCAGAGCAGCGAAGCAGTCACTTCATTCACAGGCCTTTTGCTTTGTGTTCATCTGTGCCTGCTGAACACCATTCTTAAGGGAGTTTCTAGCCACTTGGCTCTACCTCAGTGAACCTGCACCTTCCCTCTGTTTCCCATACTAGTTCTTTACATTTAAAACTGGGAGGACAGCATGTTTGAGGGAATGACCTGAAGTCTTTCCACCTACTGTCAGTTTCCCTTTCATGTACCCTGCCAGGTTTTTCCCTTGTCGTTTATACGTGTGACTTTAAAGTTACGTGGACTCGTGCCCTGTACACACACCGCTCCTTTAGTGTATCCTGACTGGACCGGCTTTCAGGTTTGGTAGATGTGCAACTTTCACCATCACCCACAGCTGCAGCACGGTTTCCCCAGAGGATGCACCTTCATCTTCTCTCATCCTTATAGCTGGGACTTTGTCTGTTGTTTTAGTTTTATATGATAGAAAAGGTCATCTCATTTCACAGCCTTTATGGATCAGAAGGGAGGAGGGGCCAAAAATTGGGGGACCTGATGTCAAACCTGAACCTTAAAGGCCCTGGAAGCTTCTATACTGAACAGCAGGGTTGTCCTTAGTCCAGGGGAGGCCTTGAGTCATCCTACCACACGTGTATGAGAGGTACCTACTGTGTGTCCAACTCTCCTCCACCTGGGTGTTTCTCCCACTTACCCTCTAAAGGAGCTGATGTTGTCTTCTTGGTTGATAAATTGGCAAGTATTCAGAAAAGTTAGGTGACCCACCCAAGCCAGACGGCTGGTTGATGGCAGTTCAGGGATTCAAACTAGGCTCTGCCTTATTCTGCACACAGCCTCCATCTGTCTAGAAAATGGTGCCATCATCACAGGACAACAGGGCCTTGGCATTGCTGTTAGGAAAGTTCCCTCCCAGAATGGCTGGGAAGGTGGATGAGTGTCTGTTTGTAGGAAAAGTCATTCTCGGGAGACCCTGTCCAGGGGGGTAGGGAAGGCCTGTGCATCAGGACTGCAGCCCCAGGTCTAGAGGGGATGCAGAACCGTCCCCTGATCTCTAGAGAGTGGAGCTTGCTGCCTGCCGCACCCTCCACTGCCTGGCTCCATCTGTCTGAGTTTTTAGGTCAAATCAAAACTTGGTTTCCCTCCTTGCTCAGGTGAGGCGAAAGGCCTTGCAGGAAGAGATCGATCGCGAGTCTGGCAAGACGGAAGCTTCTGAAGCCGGCGGGAACTGGACGGTAAGTTTAATGCCAGAGTGTGTGAGGTGGGCTTGGTGTTCACACTCCAGCCCTTGCTGCTCAGCCTGGGGCATGGAGGGGGGACTGTTCATCCAGGCCCCAGGCAGCCCCAGGCGCTCTCCACCGAGCTGTCCTAGCCATTTTCCTTCCTTTGTAAAGGATGCTTGCCTTCTCCAGGGGAGCTGGCCTTCTCCCGGGGAGCTGGCCTTCTCCCGGGGAGCTGGCCGTGTGAAGTAAAGCCGTGTCCTGCTCTGGGCGAGTGAGCCGGGTGACTGGATGGTGGAGAACTCCGGGCAAACTTGGCAGTAGTCGGTGGTGTCCTGGGAGGGCTGCTGGGAGCTGCGCAGAAGGCGGGGGTGGGGTGGGAGGTGGCAGGCCTCTCCGATTGAGATCCAGGTTGGATGGGAAATTGCCAGAGTGGCCTGAGAAGCTAGGACAGACGGAAGGACACTGCGGGGACCATGAAGCCAGGCTGCTGGGGTGAGTGAGCTCAGCCTTGCTGGGTCCCTCCTCTCCATACCCTGTCACTCAGCTGAATCATTGCTTCCTGTTACCAGGATCCTCAGTGTGCCAGGTGTTGGCAGAGGCAGCCCAGGGCACACGTGACCCTTCATCGTGCTCACTGGCTGGTGGGGGTGCAGGGGTGGTAGGGAAACAGGAAAGAGTGGTCGTCCTGGGTTGTAGTGCCAGGGAGAAAACCAAGGTGAGGTGGGGTTGGCACTGCACTGGATAGGGTGAGGTGAGGAGGTGGCTTGGGAAGGTGACGTAGCTAGTGGTATGGAGGCACCAGCCCTGAGAAGACAACAGTGAGTGCAGAGCCCAAAGGTGGGCCACGGTGTAGTGAAGGCCAGCCAGGTGGCATGGTGGTTGGGACACAGTGTGCCTGCCCACCAGGCCAGCTTCAGTGGCTCAGATAATAGTGGGGTGCTTACAGTGAGCTGCTGCAGGGGGAGCTCTGGGGGGCATTCCCCCCGGGGATGGGTCCGTCAGAGGGCTTGGCCTGCTCACCTGAGGAGGGTGCAGAGGAGGAGGGATAGGGGGACTCCGTAACAGGCTGGACTGGGGCAGAGGGACCTAGGTGCTGGGGCAGGCTGCTCTCTTGCTGTCTTTAGCCTTCAGGCTGCAACGGCAGGAGGGGCTGCTGTGAATCTGAACACCTGCGGTCGCTTACTGACTCCACCACTTTGTTGAGTCTCTGAGCAGGAAGCTTCCCTGGGACTTGGCCTAGCCTTACGGTCGTGGAATAGGGCTTTCCGCTCTTTCTTTTGCTGTGCTTGGATCCTCCATCCTGTTGAGCTGAGCAGGACACCCTGACTACGGGGACAAGAAACGGGGTGTCATCCTGGGCTGGGGTCTGCTGGCCGTGGGCCTCTCAAGGCAGGCCATCCACCTGCTGATGAGCTCTCCTCAGACCCCGGTAGGAGGGGTCACCAGCAGCCCCGCTCTAGAAATCGCAGGCCAGGGAGACAGCACTCATTCCTGCACCTGGCCACCATGTAGCAGGGAGGACGGGTCACCAGTTCACTCAGAGCCACTGTAACGACAGCTGGTTCTGATTGTTCTCCCAGAGCCGAGGTGGAAATGAGCACTGGCCTGGCAGGTAGACAGTTCCAGGTCAGTGTTTTGGTGGGGGAGACTGACGGCGGGCCAAGAGCCGTGCACTACATTTCTGGTATAAAATCTTTTAAGTTTCACCAAAGCCCCTTGAGATGGTAAATAAGGACACTGAGGCTTAGGGTAGGTGACTGGACCAGGTGGGGCTTTAGCCTGGGGCCACATGATTTGAAAGTTGGGGAGTTGGGTTTCTTGTGTCTCCCATGAGGTGTCTTGAGGGGCTGTCTTGCACTTTGGTGCATGTGGGGGATTTGTGCACAGATGGTAGAATGCTCTGGCTGGAATTGGGACCCCCCGAGATGCTGGGCTGGCTCAGCCTCTAACTTGGCCTTGTGACTCTTTGTGGGCCTCACTCCTTGGTGCTGTAAAGTGCAGTGCCGCAGAAGAAAAACTCTTCAGTTCCCAGTTGCTCCCCTCCCCTCCCACTGAAAACAGTAGGCTGATGGATGAGCTGCCGAGGCCTGACTGGGTGTGGAGTAGGGGTGGGTAAGGTGGAGATGCCCTGGGCATATGGTTCAGGCCTATAATTCCAGTGACTTGGGATGCGGAGGCAGGAGGATGGCAGGTTTGAGGCCAGCTTGGACAATTTAGTGAGACCCTGACCTAGAATAGAAATGGAATAAAGAGGGCTGGGGGTACAGTTCAGTGATAAAGCATCCTGGGCTCCATTCCTTGTGCCCCCAACCTCCCCCAAAAAAACCCAAGGTGAAATAAGGTGTCCTGTGCAGAGGGGAGCTGTGCTGTGCCGTTCCCACATGTGGGGGGAGCAGAGCTAGGTGTACAGAGGGCTCTTGCTGGCTGGGCCAGAGTTGGACTCCACCAGGTTACAGTGTGGCTTGTGGCTTCAGGTCTGGGGCATCAGCATCCCAGCATTCCCCATGGAATCCTTGTCGGGAATAACAGCAGGAAACTGCTGAATGGCCCTCGAGCTGGCATTTGAACCAGCAGAACTGTCCTAGTAGGAGTTGGGGGACTCCTTCGCATTCAAGGAAAATGATGGCTTTTTTCCTTTTAATGCAGGGAACCCAGTTTGGCCAGTGGGATACTGCTGGTTTTGAAAACGAGGAGCAGAAACTGAAATTTCTCAAACTTATGGGTGGCTTTAAGAATCTGTCCCCTTCCTTCAGTCGCCCGCCCAGCATGATTGGAAAGCCCAACATGGCCATGAGCAAGAAGGCCGCGGACACCCTGCAGCAGAACCTGCAGCAAGACTACGACAGGGCCATGAGCTGGAAGTACAACCGGGGGGCCGGCCTCGGCTTCCCCACCACCCCGAGCAGAGTCTTCTACATCGACAGGAACGCTTCCAAGTCTGTCAAGTTGGAAGATTAAACTCTAGCGTCTTGGCTCCCCAAACAGCCCAAATTGCTTTTCTTATTTACTTTTGCAGATGCAAGCCACCCAACAGTCCTCGATGGGCTTGGACGGACAGGTGGGGACAGTTCATGAGTTGGCAGCCAAGTGAATGCGTGAGTGGCTGAAACCGCCTGTCTGTCAAAGCTTCCATCCTGTTGGGCAACACCTGTGTTAATGATAGTGGCTCAGAGTCAGGGTGCAGCACAGGCCAGGCACGTGGCATCCCTGCACCAATGTATTTAATCATGATTGTGAAGTAGGTGCTATCATCCCTCCTACAGATGAGAGGCAGCCGAGGTTCAGGGATAAAGTAATAAGGCCGCTGGGGGTCGCCATGCACTTTTGTACCCCAGGCCCTTAGTCACACTTAGTGCTCTGAATGCCCCATCCAGGGACTTTACTGAGATTGGAGGAAACAGAAGTTTTGTAACATCTAAATCTCACACAGGGATGGAATTCCTGATGAAGAGCAAGCTCATCTTCCTTCCCGCGACAGAGTAGCTACAAGCAAAGAGGTGTCTGAGGTGCCACCAAGCAGATGTGGCTGTGTTACTGGGAGATCACCTCTGTCCCAGCTGCTGTCTTTTCATCTAAGTGCGGAGTTGGATTTGACGTCCTTGTGCGCCCATCCACTGGATTTTGGACACGGCATCTTAGAGAGCATTAGTCATGCCAGTCAACCAGTGGCACATTTCCAGGGATGCAGCTCATGATTTCCCTTGGTCGTAAAGAGAGATCCTGGGTGACTGCTGTGGTGGAGACCCAGGCCCGAGAGCATGACATGGAAGTGTCATCAGCTGTGGCATGGCTTCCAGCTTGGGTTCTAAAGAGCCCCAGGTACCATGACCTGGGTGACAGGTGCTGCCTTCTTTCCACTTGGTAGCATTCTGCATCTGAATGGAGGAATGTTCCAGTGAAGCCAAAGCAAATCTCATACTTGACCTTTCTCCTTTGATCTTTTCAACAATCTAGTTGAGCTGTTTTCTTTAGGAAAAGGAATTAAATGGTGATATATGCTTTTCCTAAGTCTTCCGAGGTGCTTTAGGCACATTCAATTCCAGATTTTAGTGCTTCTCTAACTCGAGGGTACAGTACACCGAGTGGGTGCCGTAATGCACACCTGTAACCTCGGCATCTGAGGCCCTTAATAATGTAGCAAAACCCTGTCTCAATGAAAAAGGCTGGGAATGTAGTGTAGTGGTCAAGTGCCCCTGGGCTCAATCCTTAATACTCCCCCTCCCCCAGAGGACTGCTTTTCCCAAGTTATTTTATGAAACACCAGAAGCATATTCCAGGAAAGAAAGTTCTCGCATCCCTTTGTTACTCCCTAAAGGCCACTTGGGCCTCCCTGGTGCTTACTTAGGAACCAAAAGGCCACTTGTGCAAAGAAACGCGCAAGAGAGAGGCTGCTCGCTGCCCGGAGGACGAGATTTGATTTTAATGCTCTGATGATTCCCTCATTTTCATTGTCAGAATAACCTGGGGAGAGGCCAAAGCTTAAGCCAACCTGTGTGTAAATGAAAGTAAAAAGGAAACTCGGATCCCGGCAGGAGTTTCAGGCAATACAGGTGCTCTCTGGGAGGGAGCTGCCAGGGTGCACTGGGTTAGGTCCTGGTCTGCAGCGGGAGCCTCAGGGCCAGCTCGGTCAGATGGTTCATGTCTGGCTGTTTGCTTCGCTTCTTGATGTATTCTAGAGTCTTCACCTAAGAAGAAAAAGATCGTCTCATTTTTGGTTCCTAACTCTCCTGGCAGCCTAGTTCTCTAGTGGCCTGGCAGTGTGCTTATAGAGAACAGCAGTGGGGGGAAATCGGAGTCTTGGAAGTAAAACTTCTTACATCATGAATTGCCCCTAAAAAATTCAGGATTTGTATGTGACCAGGAATGACTGAAGATTTTAATGGATGAGGTTTTTATAAGGAGTAAACAAACCACCCATATTAAAAACTTGAGTTGGTTTTTAATTGAAAGTTACCGCCTATAAATTCATGCTTTTAACACTAGGAATTCTCAGGCCTGGACCTTTTTTTCTTTTTGGTGCCAAAACCTGAGCTCCCGGTGCCCTTCTGAAAGGGGAGACGGGCAGTCTAGGTCCAGCCCTGACGCTGTGCTGATGCCGGCCCATGAGTGCCTTACCATGGTCCTGGTGTCTGCACAGCCGTGCCTTTGTGCCAGGTGCCACAGGTTGACTGATAGCTGATTGAGCTTGTTGTTGCGCAGGTCCCCGTGGGCTATGATGCTGTTGAAGAAAGACAGGCCCAGCAAGCTCTGGCGCTTCAGGGCCTGGGGGGGTGTGGGGGAAGGGTGGAGATGGTTACAGCCTTGCACTGGGGCTCAGGACAGGTCTAGCAAGGACCTTGTTCATTCGCCAACTCTGCCCCATCAGCCTACCCATGCCAGAGCCCACGGTGGGCATCATGGTCAGCAGCTTAGCTGACTCAAAGGGCCTAATGGAGGACTGGATCATGCCACAGTACCCCAGCCAACAAACAGGAGAGGAGGTGACACCTTGGTAAGGAGAAGCCACCTGCACGGGTCCTGCCCCAAATGAATCAGGCTACACAAAGACCTCGCCAAGAGTCTCCCAAGATCCTTTCAACCACATTTCAATATAGCAAGGGAAGATTTTTTAAGAAATTAAAAAATTATCTTCCTGGCAGGCTGTTGCATAATTCCTCAATAAGGATTCTATCCCCCAGAGCTCAATTCTCAAGGTTCTAACACCAGTCTGTTGAAGTCACATCACTGGAGACCTGGGAGGACCGGCTTCGGATAAGCAGTATTACAGCTGGACCAGGCTGACCCCCGTCCTCCAGAGGCTTGAGATAGGAGAAAGCTGCTTTTCCTGCGAGAACTGTCACTTCCAGGAAGTGGGGAGAGCCTGGCAGCCTTCCTGGCTCCACCACAGCCAACTTCGTAAGACTCCAGACAGAAAAGGGGCTGGCTCCTTCACGTGCCCACGGGGGACAATTCTGGAAGCAGGCATTCTAGCAGTGCCAGGGTACTGGGGTTTCCAACAGTGGGCCTCTGCTTGGCTTGGCTCCTGGGGTGACCACTGGAGGATTCTGAGAGTTGTCCCTACTGAACTTTATGTGGCGTTGGTAAAGGATGTGTTCAATTTCAGTTTGGTCTACCCATATTTTTCTAATAAACACACACATAGACACATTTTCCTTGAGTGTCTTTTTATGTCAGATGTTTGCAGGAACAGCCCAGCTTTGCTGTTCTTTCAGAATTGAGAGTCCTTGCCATCAGCTCACTCACTCGCCTAAGTCAAATGTTACTTTTATCCAAATATATGGTTTGGGGCTTATTTTCACTGAGCTGGGGTGGGTTTCAGGGCCATGGTTGTTTCTACTGATTAAACCCAGCCCACTTCCTGAGGGTGAAGGAATATTTTCAAACCACATGGCAGAATCTCCTGTGGGTGTGACTCATCTTGTGATAAGAGGTCACTGGGCTAGAAGACAGGGGCAGCAACTGGTTTTGAGAAATCGGGAAAAGATTAAGAATTCTATGGTGGTGGGAAGGAGAGAATTAGTTTAGCATAAACCGAAAGTAAAGTAGTACCCACTTCTCCTGCAAGGTACAAAGGGCACCCTTCTGCATAGAGGCGAGGAGAGTTCTTGGTGGCTGAATTGCCCCTCTCAAACCTCTCATACAGGTTTGTTAGACCTGTTTTCCAGGTGGGGTGCCAACACTGTTATTTATTCAGACAGCCAAGGCATCGCTTGCATGAACTTGCCTGGAGTTCTGGGCTCTGCAGCCCAGAGCCCTTGGGGTCAGCAGGGGACCCTTCTGCCTGCCTTCCTCCCTAGAGATGGCCCTCTGGGGTGCCCTGAGGCACTTAGAGCCCCCAATAGAGGTTTTTCTAACAGGCTGGCCCCTCAGGCAGTGCTCAAATATTCTGGAGAGAATGGAAATCCAAGATGTGAGTCCAGTCACCTTGCCAGGTCCACAGGGCATGCAGTGGTGGAACCAACCTATCCCAGATGGAAAACATTCAGGAAAAATAAATTGCCACTGTACCAGACGTATATTTTTTTCCTGTAGTTGTTCCCTGAACAGTAATCAGGTATGTGATGGCTAATTTGAATTGTCAACTTGATTAGATTAAGAAATACCAAGGATTAATGGACTTATGGGTGTGTCAATGAGGGTGTGTCTAGGAATGACTGGCATGTGGGGTAGCTACTGAAATGGAGACCCTCCCTAAGTGTGGGCAGCACCATCCTATAGGATGATGGCTTGGATGGAATAAAGTTGGAAGAGCAAGGAAGCAGCAGCAGGTGCAAGCTCCTTCTTAAACTGGTTCTTGATTGCTGCTGTGATCGTCTGAGGATCTCAGACTCTGGCTTCTTCACTCTTCCAAAGAGGACTCTGCAGTGATTCTCCAGAAGCCTTTGGTCTCAGCCTAGGGTAGCAACTTGATCCCACCTGTTCTGGGGCTTCAGCCTCTGGGACTGCGCAGCTCCTGGTCCCTCCAGCTCTCCAGCCTGCAGAGGGCCACTGGGGACTACCCAGCTTCTGGTTGTGTAAGCCAATCTTGTAAGTCCCCCTTTTATATTTCTTGTTAATTCTGTTCCTCTAGAGAACCCTAACAAGGTATTTACATGGCATTTACATGTTGTTATAGATTACAAGTAATCTAGAAAGGATTGAAGAATATAGGAAGACGTGTGTAGGTGACATGCAAGTACTATGCAGCTTACACAAGGGACAGCAGCATCTGAAGACTGATACCTTCATGAGGTCCTGGAACCAATCCCCGCAGGTAGCGGGATGGGACTGCGTTTTAGGTGTGCTATATATTTTGGTGGTTTGGGAAAGGACATGGCAGGAGTGTCACTGCATACAGCTTGGAAGTAAGAAAATCCAGTTTGAGCTTGTTTTTTCTTCAAACTGGACAACTTCAAAAGGGTATAGGAGCAAAACCTGGGAAAGAGACTCTGGGAAGGCAGCGGGAGGGAGGGGAGGAGGGTGGGAAGCCCCTGGGAATAGAGGAGCCAAAATCCTCTCAGATGTGGGGAGGGGGTGTTGCAAGGGACAACAGGTTTTTCCTGCAGGATGAGGTCAGGAGTGGGCCATCGGGCGACATCTAGGTGGGAATAAAAGCTCAGAGCAGCTCAGAGCAGAAGACCAAGGTTTGGAAAATCACAGGGAGCGGAAGGTCAGGGCCAGGCTGCCAATCCAGGGGAGGACGAGGGGTGGGCCAGAGAGCAGGTCAGATTCTGTGGTGCTGTCAACTCCTGCGCCTCCACCTTGACCACAATGACAGACTAGTCAGTGCCTAAGCACCTAGCCAAGTGTCACGGCTGGGCTGAGACAGGGCTTGTGGGATCCACACATCTGGAGCAAGGGTGCAAAAGCAGAAGCCACAGTAACTTGTGAAGGGTGTAACTTGTGAAGGGAGCCAGGCAGCTGATGAGGTCATACTGTATGGAAACTGCTGAACTCAATCATCTGCTTTGTGGATGACAAGGGACACACGCTCTGAAAGTGGCCACAGCATCTGGTAACAACTCTTTTCATGGATAAGAGCACGGCTTCCAGAAAACTGCCTTGAGGAATCCCATAGCTATTGCTGTAGGACTCGGTTTTCTCCTCTAGAGGACGGTTGTGAGAAATGAAGCCAGCACGCAAACCCTCGACATCACACTTAAGGGTAATGCCAGGCTGGAAACACCTCCTGTTGTCATTAGAGACACGCGCCACTCCTTGAAGGTAGGTGGCCAGGCCTTAGCTGGGCAAGGCAGAGAGTAAAGAGGACGGCCTGGGGCGTGGGTTAGACCTGTCCTATCAGAACCCCAGGGATTTCTGGATAAACAAACTTCCCTGTGCCTCAGTTTTCCTTTTGGTTAGTGAGAACGTCTGTCAGGCCAGTATGCATACAGGAGAGCTCGGAGTGGGAGTTAGTCCTTCACCACGTCCTGCTGGAGCACCTGGGCTTGTGTGAGGGATGGTAAGATGAGTGACAGGTAGACCCAGAGGTCAGACCCGAGACATCTAGTCATCCTGGCACAGCAGGTCCCTGCTCCCACAGAGCTCCCCTCAAGTGTGTGTGGGGGGGCAGGGGTGTGGAAGCAGAGGCAGTCCACAGGTGGGCAGGTGGGTGCTGGCTACGTGGTAGGGGGGCCTCAGAAGGTGTCAGATCAGGATGACAAGAAGGGGAAGCCCAGAGTAGGCGCGGTTCATGCAGAGAAGACAGGCGTGCAGGCCCTAGAGTGCTAGAGGAAGTGTGTTTGTGTGAACACAACTTGGGTACAATGGTTTCCCTTCCATCATCAAACTTCCTGGGAAACCTACCTCGTCCTTGGCCAGGGTTTTCAGGTGCTCCAGGATCTGGGCCATCACAGTCTCACACAGCTTGTTGTTCTCAGCCAGGAACTTGGAGTCTCCCCCGTACAGGCTGTCGTTGGAGTCCACTGGGCCGGCGTGACAGAGAGACAGGGACAGAGAGAGAGAGAGGGGCGGGGGAATGGGTTCAGTGCAGAGCGCTGCTTGGATCCCCAGCATGTGGGCAAAAGGAAATTTTTAAAAAGGCAGCCAGACCGACCCAGGCCTGTGGCCAGCAGGAGGAACAGCCAAGTGTCACACGGTTTCAGCAAATGGCAGCAAATCATGGCAGGGCAAATGGGAATGGTCAAATTCTCCCATGGGCCTTGGGCATCACAAGCACTTGGCCTTGAGAAGAATGTTGCCACAGTCCCGGGGGTGTGGAAGTCACCCTGGCTCCAGGCCTTGGGTGGAGAGGGAGGCAGCAGCTGCCTGCCCACTAAGGGCTTCACCCATGTCACTGCACAGCCTCAAAAGCTGCACGTGAACGAGATGCGCGTCACCTCCCCTCACGGATGGCCTCAGAGGCAGTCCCAGCCAAGACCCTTAACTAGGAAGTCAGCAAAGGGACACAGGCTCAGCCACTATGGTGCCGCCAGTCCCCTGTAAGCCCCCACCTTGTCGGTACAACCAGAAGCACCTTGACTGCCATTAAGTTCTCCAGGTCAACTTCTTTCAAAGCTCACATCACTTTGACGATGTCTCTTGCCAAAAAGTCCTCCACTCTCTGCTTGGTCACCTCTGGTGACAACCACTGTCCCTCCCATGCAGCCAAGGACAGCCGAGAGTGGGCTCCTGTCTCCTTCCCATCACTCACCTTCATGCAAGGCGCGGTCTCCTCTGGGTAAGGGAAGGGCAGAGACGCCACAGTGAGCCGTTCTGCACTTTGGCTTTTCACTTATTGATAAATCTTGGAGCTACCTGGTGTCAGCTCAGCCTTGTAATGGCTGAACATGTTCCTCTGCAGGACAGACCAGAACCTATTCAGTCGGCCCCTGCTGCAAACACCACATTCTTTTGCGGGGCTGGAGATGGAGCCCAGGGCCTTGGTCGTGCTAAGCACTCTCCCCCCCCTGAGCTACCCACGCCCAGCCCAGCCCTGCTTCCTGGCAGCTTGGCACCAGCTGGCCACAAAGCTGAAGTCTACATTGAACCACGGCCTCTGCCTTGCGGGAGTTCATGCTTTCCTCCCCACGGGGGGCTTCTCCCCTTCTCTCCAGGGTGCGCAATCGGCGCTCTCCTGGCACAGCCTGTCAGTGTGGGCACTCGGCGCTGTGCAGTTCTGGAGCCGGGGCAGGGCTCAGTGGTCAGGAGGAAGTGCAGGGGCAGCTCCTGCTACTTCCAGTGTGGCAGGAGCCTATGATTTAGGCCACTGTGCCAGATGGGGGACATCCGACAAACTAGCAGCCATGCCTGTGCCTTAGGAGGGCGCGGTGCAGCCCCTGTGCCAAGGACGCTGCAGCTCCATGGTCAGGGACACTGCATAAACCAAGCGTGGCCAGCGATTCTCTGCTGGACTGTAATGGGTGCTGCTCTTCTTGCCTCATTTCATTACTTTTAGGATAACGTGGGAAGGATTCTGTCCCACATTCACGAGAGACAATGTAAGAAACACAGGAGGGCTGTGAAGCTGGACAGGGAAGAAGTGCAGTCTCACTTGCAGAAGGCAAGGCTGAAAGGGAGCCGTGGTGGGTGGTCCTGCTGTGGTCCAGCCACCTGCAGGCGTCTGCGGAGAAAGTCACCCGACTGCTGGCTACCAGCAACAGAAATGGCTCATGTCCAACAGATCCCTCCAAGAGGACAAAGAAAAAGCGAAAGTACAGTGTTCAGGGATGGCTTCTGAGCTTTTAAGGTGACCCTAATAGGAAAATTGGCAAATACCTCAATCATCTGAATAAAAAATACATTTATGTGGACAATATTTAAGTGGGAAAAAAAAGAGGCAACTTTAAAAAATCCAAATAAGGAATAAGCCAAAAATTTCAAAAAGAAAAATCAACTTCATTAGTAATCAGAGAACAACTTTTTTAGCCCAGCGTGGTGGTACACACCTGTAAATCCTAGAGGCTCAGGAGGCTGAGGCAGGAGGATCACAAGTTCAAAACTAGCTTCAGCAAAAATGAGGCACTAAGCAACTCAGACTCTGTCTCTAAATTTTAAAAAATACAAAATAGGGCTGGGGATGTGGCTCAGTGGTCAAGTGCCCCAGAGTTCAATCCCCAGTGCCCCACCCCCCCACACACACAGAGAAGAATTTTTAGAGAAAAATTATTTATACGAACAAAGGTTTGAAAGAATCTGGGAAAACTATTGGTGGAATTGTAATAGTTGAGAAATTATTATGAAAAGGCTGAAGAATTTCCTCTACTGCTACATACCATTAGGATGATTATAATTAAAAAAAAATTAAGTTAAAACATGGACAACAAGCGTTGGTGAGAAAGTGAAGAAACTGGAACCCTGTGCTTGGCTGGTGGTGATTATAACAGGGTGACGCTGCCGTGGAAAGCATCTCAGTCCTCAGTTGATCACAGAATTACCATGGGACCAGCAATTCCTAGCCCAGATAAATGCCCCCAGGAACCGAAAGCTGGGACTCTTAACACCAATGCTCACATTCACTCTGGCCAAAAGGTGGAAACAGGTGAAGTGGCACACGCCTGTCATCCCAGTGGCTCCGAAGGCTGAGGTAGGAGGATCGAGAGTTCAAAGCCAGACTCAGCAACAGCGAGGCCCCTAAGCAACTCAGTGAGACCCTGTCTCTAACACAAAATAGGGCTGGGGAGTGGCTCATTGGTTGAGTGGCCCAGAGTTCAATCCCTAGTAACCCCCATCACCACCAAAAAAAGGTGGAAACAACTCAAGTGTATCAAAAGATGAATGGATAAATAAAATGTGGCACATCCAATGAGATCAATCAGCCTTAAAAGGGAATGAAACTGACACTGGCTATAGCTAAGGGCAATACGCCGGACACAAAAGGACAACTCTTCACAGTTCTCACAGGAGGTTCCTGGAACAGGCAGGTTCATATTGACAAAGTAGAACAGAGGTCACCAGGAGCCGGAAGCTGGGAGGAATGGTGAGCTAATACTTGGTACAGGATTTCAGTTGAGATTAAAAACTCTGGAAATGGATAATGGTGATGGTAAGTGTGTATGTACTTGATAAAATTACTAAGTACACAAATCAGCTTTATGTTATGCACCTTTTATCAATAAAAAATGTTAAAGGAAAAAGGAAAGAGTCTTAACAAGTCTAGCTCTTCTGACTTAGGAAAATCATCCCAAGAAATTTATCCTAAGAAATATTGTTTATGAATATGTAACAATGGATCCACTATTATGTATGATTGTGATTCACCAATAAGAAAAAAGTCTTCCTAAGAAAATAAGCCAACAGATGTTCAAAGATGCATATATGTAATACTCCTTAAGCTGGTGGTTATTGTAATGAGAGGAGAAGCAAAAAAAGTCCACCAATTTGAATGCTTTGTGGTACCATGGAGGCAATAAAAGCACATGATCTATACCCTCCAAACAGATTTACTAAGAGCTACAATATATTAAAGGAACCAAACAGCACACATAGCAAAGCCCCTACATATAGCAAATAAACAAGTACATATACATTTCCCAATTTATAATTTCCTAGGAACTAATTTAAATTTTTAAAATTACATTTCATTATCTTGTGTATTTCCTGGAAGCTTCCTTGAATCTTTTGGGGGAACGGGCAGGTGTAAGCACACATCAGTTAGCTAACTGATGGCAAATAGTTCCAGGGCCGCTTTCTGTTCATTGCCAGTTGACATTTGAGGAACAACAGATGTTCACCAGCTTTTTTATTTTGAAAAACGTCAAGGCTATAGAATAGCAGAAAAACCCCACTGCAGTGGATCTGTCTGCTTCTGAGAATCACCAAGCCTTAACATTCGGCTTCTGGTGTGCCAGTCCTGGCTGGCTGGCCATTTTTTTCGGTTGAACCATTCGAAGGCAAGCTGTAGACACACTGCCTAAGAATGAGCGCGCACTGGCCTCCTTGCTCCTCAACTCCTCTGTCTGCAGGCAGAGATGATCTGATCCTGCTCTGGTCATCCAGGGGGACCCTCCTGGGGACCTCCAGGCTGACTGCTTCCTTAGCAGGTACTCATGATGTTCTTGGGAGTGACTGGCCTGGGCTACGGGGTAAGCCCAGGGTTACTGCCGAGCTCAGCTGCTGTCTTGGAAAGAAGGCAGCTACCAGAAGAATCTGAGTTGGAGTTACAGAGTGGCAAAACTGCAGTTGAAGAAGAAATTTCTCATGTTTGCTGCTGAGGACCAGAATAGTTCTGGTGTGAATTCCCAGTCTCCCTCTGGGATGAGTCTGCTCGAATTCTGATCAGCCCAGCTCTGGAGGAGAGGGAGGGGCCAGGGTGTGTTCAGGGCAGGTGGTTCAGCCACTCTCACACACACAGCATCTACGGAAAGAGCCTGCTCTGCACCAACTCCTGAGCTAAGAACTGGAGTTGCAGTGGGGACAAGAGCAACTGATGTTGCCCCTGCAGAGGAGCACACAGCCCTCAGGCCACACAGACAACAAGCAGGCAAGCATACAGGGAGTGCCGAGTGGCAGCAGGCGCAGTTCAGGGATCATGGGATCCACAAATCTGGGCTTTGGATGGACTGTGGAATCAGTGAGAGGCTCAGAAGGCAATTCACTAGAGTTTAAAAAAATAAAAAATAAAAAAAGCGGGGGAGGGGGGTTTATCTGTGCTAACATCTGGCAGTCACCAGGGAGAGAGAAGAGGATGGGTTTGCAAATCAGAATTAATCTGGTCAGGGCAGGGTGTTGAATGGGGCTGTGAGTCCAGACATGGCTCTGGGGGAGGGGAGGGAGAAATGTCCCTCGCAAATGGCCACCAAGAATAGCCTATGATCTCTGACCCAGGGATCATGAACACAAACGCTGTAAGAGCCTGGCGGGTGACGTGGAAGAGTGAAGACCTGGGTGTACTCATAGCAACGACAATGCTCCACAAATGGACACCCAGCATCCAGGAACAGACTTCATTTCTACATCACACCCACGCTCCTGCAAGCTGGCCCGAAGGACTGGAGCTACCGCTGTAGGTAATGTCAGAATGTTCTTTTTATTAATCTGCAAAGAAAGCAGCCAAGTTATCCTTTGTTGATGCAAAAATGATCTTTCAAAAATTGAGTCAATGTTGTGTAAAAGCCTGCCTAGAACAGGGAGGGAAGCAGGGAGAACAGAGTCCCCAACCCTGCAGAGCCTGCTGGCTTCCTGGGTCTCTCTTCTACTAAGACACTTGTCAGGTCACGATTGTGCAGCCAGAGTAAACACAGCTGGGCTGAGGAGGAGGGAAAGAAGATCCACCCTTTGCATCTTTAAAAAGCTAGAAAACAAGACTCCTGCCTGTCGAGTACAGCCTTGCTCCCTTTGCCACTTGGGCCTGGCCATCTACCCTGGGACAACCACTGAAGGAAGGGAGTGAGAGGGCGGGGTGCAGCCTGCTTTCAACAGGTACACAGGCCCCGCATGGCCCCAAAACTTGTGTCGTTCAGAGCTTTCTTCGGATGTCACAAAAGGGAGAAGAAAAATGTAAACAAATCCAAGAAAAGATGCTTAACCTTATTCACTCATCAAAATGGCTAAGCTGAAAAGGACCCTATCAACAGAATGAATGGAACCCTCCTCGATGCCAGTGGGAATGGCAACTGCCCATTTTGGAAGACCTTGAGGTAGTTTGTACCAAAGTCGAAATAAGCAAACCCATGAGCCAGCAACCCCAATCCCAGGCGTGTACCCAAGAGAAATGTCCTCTAACATCCACGGCATGTGGTGCCAGGACATCCACAGCAGCATCACACACAGTGGTCCCACGTAAGAACCAGGAGGCAGCCACCATACAGGGTGGGGGAAACCATGGTGCATCGGTACTGCAGAATGCTACAGTCCTGCAAAGAGGAGCAGCTGCAGGCTCGCACGACAAGCTTCACCTAGCACATCAGACACTGAGGGACGCTTGCAGAGTGATGCCATTTACGTGGGACTCAAAAACTACTAACTTGTAAGGCCAGCAGTGAGAGTGGTGCTGGTCTGTGGTGCTGGCTGGAACGGCCACAGGGGCTCCAGGGGAGCTTGTCGTGTTGTTTTCTGATCTGGGTGAGGGTACCTGGGCATGTGCACTTCCTGTAACTCACTGAGCATCACTGTTTCTTGTAGGAACGTTACAGTCATTCTAAAATTCCTTACCGTGTAACTGAAGCAGAGTAACACAGGCCCCCGGGTATGGTGCGGACTCACCTCCATGGCTACCTAGCCAGGAGCCTGAGAGCAGATCACGTATGTCTCTGGGGCTCCCCTCGTTCATATGTAGAGGGGACAAGAACACCTCACGGCAGCACCATGAAGACTGAGGGAGGAGAGGCCTGGGGGCTCTGGCGCAGGGCCTGGCAGCAGTTAGGCGCTCTGGTCACCATAGCCATCTTTACATTTCTATCAGCAGCCCCCCAATCCCAGCTAGAGTGCCTCTGAGGTCATCACAGAAGGCCCCCCTTAGCACCACAAGTTTGTCCACTGCAGTTTCCAAGCACAACGACACTTTTTTAAAACCTTAGCATTCACAATCATAGGCCAAAGCACTCAACAATCGGGCTATTTTTTGGAAACCAAAATTTGGAATTGAGCGTCTGACAAACAGGAGGATACTTGGGTCCAGCATCAGGACTTTTCTGTTATGCCCTGGACATAAGGAGGCCGTTCCCAAACCTGTAACAGCAAGTTCAAGATGGCCAGAAGCAGGTGGGGAACAAGGGTCTCCTCCTCAGCACCTGGGACTAAGGGCGCACAGGGCCTCAGCATCACCTGTGCAGGTTACACACACTCTCCCGAGGGTCCTGCCCAGACGGGGAGCAACAGGCCGGGAGAAGCTGGTCCCCGTGCGCATGTCGCCACCATCAGGTTATCCTACAGCGCGCCCATCTAACGTCATCTGATGGTCAAGATGATCTCAGGTGCTTGTTAAACAGAGTCTCTTCTTAGGGATTCTATTTAGAAGGGACAGGAGGGGGCTCAGAAATCTGGACTCGTGAGTTGACTCAGGCAAGTCCCAGATGGGTAAATTCAGTGAAGCCCTGGACGAGGAGGACACGGTAGATGAGAGACCAGGGAGATGTCAGGGAGACACTGAAATGGCCTTTCCTGAATTTCAAGGACCGCGTGGCTAGGGAGGGGAACCCGCTACCTTTGTCGATGTGGTACAGGTATGTCTCCTGGCTCATGGCGGACAGCAGGTGCAGGACACAAGTGTAGATGCGGATCTTGTCATCGCTGCTGTCCTCCCAGGTGTAGTCTTGGATCACATTGAGAAGCTCTCGAACAAGAAACAGGACCCCGTGTTCAGGATGATCCTGGTGGAGAGGTGAACCCGGATAAATAAGCCTAGGTACGAAGCGGGAGGAAGGAAACACCCAAACCAAATCAACACCCCAGACACCCAAAGCCCCTCCCCCAGCAGCTGTGGGGGGATTAATGTGCCAGTTAGTTCACGTGGGCCGAGACACCCAAGAGCAGGTTAAGCAAAACAGAGAGGGTGACAGGGGGTCATTCACCCCATGGATCAGCACATGGCAGCTGGGAGTCTCCCGTTCAGGCCCAAGGAACTGAAAGCAGCATACCCGTCACTTAACGGCCTGTTTCCAGAATCATTTTTTGGTCGTGATATGATAGGGAACAAGTTCAATTCAGTTCCAAAAGGTGTGTGGTCACGTGGCTCTTCCCCAGAACTGCCAAAGCTGCCTCATCCCACGAGGAATACAGCCCAGTGTCCCCGCGTGCAGCCCACTACCACAGCCCACCCCGCCCTCCATCCAGCCACATCACCTGGGGCCCAGCCGGACACAGGGGGCACATTCGACAGGTTGAATGAGGAAGGCTGAACGAAGGAGTTTCTATCTGAAAACCAGGGCCACTGTGCAGGGAGCTAGCAACCAAGGTGAGGCCCCAGGGTCTGGACACTTGGGAGGGGGGTCAGGGGGAGGGGTGTGGGGGTTGCTGGTCGCATCCTCAGGGTGAGGGAGGCAGGTGTGGCATTGCTGGACCTGCACAGCCTCAGCTGGGGGAGGCCATGTGGCACAGATGTGGCCTTTGGTGGAAGAACAGAGCCACTGCCAAGAAGCATGGCCCATGAGCATGGGGGGACGTATACCCCAACCTTGCCCTCCAATCTCAGCAGTGCCTCCTACTGGTAAACAGGTGAAAGCTGGGAGGAAGGCTGGCCCGGGGACACAGTCCCCAGAGGCTGGTCTCCCCAGCACAGAGCAGGACAAAATAAATAAGAACAGCTCCTGGAGCTCTTCAAGATACCACTGTGAACCCCAATTTCACAGACAGGAAGTGAGCTGCAGGGAGGGCACATGACCCCAGGTCACTGTGATGGTACATGCAGACCCAGCAGTCTGGCTCCAGAAGACACTGCTAACCATGGGCAATGTCTTCAGAGGCATGTCCCCTGTCCCCCCACCCCACCCCCTGCAGTCAACCACCCTGAAGCAGGTATAGAGCACAGCAAGAGCTGAGCCGGGCAGAGTGGCTGACTGGCAGGACTCGCGCAGCATGGCAGTGCCTGGGGTGGGGACGGCCTTCTGTGCAGGGTTGACACCTATGGAACTGCACCCTGGCTGCTCCACTCAGTTGGTCTCCACAGGCAACTTGGCGCCACACGCTTCTACTCACAGCTCCTAATTAGGCTACTTTGTCCTGCTGTGAGGATGTTCAAGACGTTTAAGGATCTGCCCTGGGAATAACAATCTGAATGTTCTAGTAATTTACTTTCAACCAAATGCTGTAACCCCTCATGGGGGACCATTCCACACACCTTCAAAGAGGTGGAACGAAGGGTAACGTGGAATTCAAGGTTCGTAGGGAGCCACTTCTGTGAGCTTCTGCTCCCAACCGAAGGGTGAGGGGTTATTTTCAATATGCATACAGGCAAGTTTCCCATGTGACACTTCTGCTTCAGTGGTTGACATTTAAAAAAAAAAAAGGCACTTTGATGGCTCAATGCCAACTGAGGTATACAGAATTTTTTTAAAGAAGGAAGGTCCTGGATACGGATGGCTCTTTCAGCGGGAAAGGTTCCCCACTTTCCCCTGGCAAGACACTTCCCAGGCAGAGCAACCAAATACCAATAAGGTGGATCCCAAGGGGCACCCAGCTGGCTTCCACCAGCAGCAGGTCCCCCCACCCTGCCACACTCCTTAGGAAAAGGAATACCCAAGAACCAAATGACCAACTCCCAGGAAGCCAAGATGGGAGGCAGCCAAGATGGCAGCAGAGAGGAGATCCTGGCAGGCCACTTAGTAGCTGATGACCCTCTAACTGCTTTGAGCCTCAGTTTCCACTTCTCTGAAATAAGCATAACAAACAGGCTTTATTCTGAACTATTATGGGCTGGCTCACTGTAAGAGGCACATATGATTAAATAAGGCCCTCGAGCAAAGGAGCCAGACATAAGGGCCGGGAGAACAGAAAAGGAAATAAGAAACGTTGGTGACAAAAAAAGAGGAGACAAATGCCAGCTGATGGGTCCTGGGCCCTGTGTCTCCCCAAGCTCGCTCGCCCGCCCTCCTCCAAGCTCTGGCATCTCCTGGGGACAGCCCCTCTGGTGCACAGCGCTCCTCCCCGCCCCCTGCACCTGGTTAACCTCTTATGCCTCTTCCTTCAACTCTCAGCTCAGCAGCACTTTCTCAGAGACCTCCCCTGGGGCTCTCAGAGATCCCTGCAGTTCTTTGTGATCAGTGTTAAATATGTGTTCAATATCAAATCTGTCCTCTCAAGTGAGGTCCCTTCCTCTTGTGCACGTCTCAATTCCCAGATCAAAGATATCTGTGGAATAGGCTGAACAAGGGAAGCGTAGGACCTGGACACCTCGCTAGGCATATGGCTGGACCTTCTCACAAGGAAAAGAAGGATAAGAGAAGTCTCCCTGCTGCAGCATCCATGATCAATGTCAGAAAACTGAGGATGATGATGTTCTGATACCTACAAACTACAGCTGAATCAAAATTAGGCCCTGAGTCGGGCCCAGTGGGACATGTCTGAAATCCCAGGGGCTCAGGAGGCTGAGGCAGGAGGATTGCAAGTTCAAAGCGAACCTCAGCAACAGTGAAGTCCAAAAGCAACTCAGCGAGACCCTGTCTCTAAATACAAAACAAAACAGGGCTGGGGATCTGGCTCAAGGGTCGAGTGCCCCCAAGTTCAGACCCGGGTACCAAAAAAAAAAAAAAAAAAAAAAAAAGGCAGGGGGGCGGGGAGCCTGAAACTATGACGCCAAACTTCCTGGGTCAAATCTACTTTATTTGCCTAGCCAAATGTCATTAAATGAAATGTGTCAGCTCAAGTACATAAAGAAGATTGTTCTGCAGTCAAAGTGGGCCACCAAGAGACTGACAGACTGAACTCAAAGTAGAATGCTTCAGAATGCTCCAAAAGCTCACCATCAGCAGAGGAAAGGAGGCCAGTCTGGGGAATACCCACCTGCACATTAGGAACATGAAACAGGCCAGGTACTTTATCTGGTTGAAAACTACTTAGTTGTAAGCAAATGAAGTGAACCAAAGCTTTTCAAATCATCCTTTTAAAAAGCCCTGAACACTGTTGGTAGAAATGTAAAATGGCACAGTCACTATGGAAAACAGTTTTGAGGTTCATCAAAACTTAAAAGGCACGTATCTGGAATCCCAGTGACTAGGGAGGCTGCAGCAGGAGGATTGCAAGTTTAAAGCCAGCCTCAGCAAAAGCTAGGTGCTCAGCAAGTCCGTGAGACTCTCTGTCTAAATACAAAATAGGGATGAATATGTGGCTCAGCGGTTGTGCCCAAGTTCAATCCCTATTACAAGCCCCTCCACCAAAAAACAAACCAACAAAGAAAAAACACACAACTTGAAAATAGAATTACATGATCTAGCAATCCTGTGGTTAGGTATATGCCCAAAAGAAAGCAGGTGCTTGAAGAGCTCTGAGCACACCTGTGTTTACTGTGGCACTATCAGAATGGCCAAGATGTGGAAACCACCTACTGGGTCCACAGATGGATGCATAAAGAAATGTGGCCTACACATACCATGGAATACTATCTAGCTTTAAAAAATGGTGAACGTCTGCAACATGTGACAAGTGGGCTGCAGGCTAAGAATGCTCTAAGTGAAATAAGCCAGCATCAGGACAAACACGGCACGAGTCCACTCTTGTGGGGAATCAGGCAGCAACAGTGTCTGCACAGGAGGGGGAGGAGAAACGGGGCAACTACTCCAGGGGCAGTTTCCGTTAAGTTCTAGGGGCATGCTGTTCAACACTGTACCTGCAACCAACAATACTGTATGTATTGTTATATACGTGCTATAATTTGTTAAAGTGGTAGATGTCATGTGGTCTTACTGCAATAAAAAAATTAGAAATTTTAAACAAGTTGTGGTTATGCATAAACGGTAGAAAGATCAGTAAAGGGGAAGGAGCAGGGAGTGGGGAGAGGGAGGGAAGGAGAGGTGCTGGGGTCTGAATTACAAGATCTATTCCATGCTTGTATAATTATGTGAAAATGGATTCTACTGTCAGATGTAACTAAAAAGAACCAATTAAAAAAAAAAGTTGTGGAATGAAAGGTTAACAATCTGAATCAAGTGAAGTGGCAGGCGGGAGCTGTTGTCTTACTGGATCTAGTCATGGTGGGCATGGCTCAGGTGTGTGGTCCATCTGACCATCTGGGAGCTCACCGGCTCTCAGTCTTGGCTATTCAGGCTGAACATGCTGATGTACCCACAGAGCCGGCAAATAGTTACAGTATTCTCCTTGTATCCAGGTTATGTGCCCAGACCCCTAGTGATGCCCAAAACCACCAACAGTACCTGATCCTGTATATGCTGCTTTCTCCTGTATGCAATTACAAATAAAGTTTTATAAATTAGATACAGTAAGAAACTAAAATAGAACAATTGTAACAACATATGATAATAGGTTACAAATTTTTTTTTCCATAAAAATGTTCACCTTTTCACTTAAAGAAATCACTTCACAGCTTCTCTCTGGCAAATTCAAACCACCAGCATCACTACTCTTGTGCTTTGGGTCATTATTTAGCAAAATAAGGGTTACTTGAATGCAAGCCCTGTAATGCCAGACAGATGATCTGTAAACTCAGGCTAGTGAGTGAATATAGAGCAGGTAGCATATACAGCATGGATACACTGAACAAAGGGACAAATTACCTCCCAGGCAGAATGGTGCAAGATTTCATCAAACTTCCCACAATGGCACACAGTTTTAAACTTATGGTGTTTTTTTTTTTCCTGGAAATTTTCATTTAATATTTTTGGACTGAGGTTGATGTAAGTAACAGAAACCACAGAAAACAAAAGAGCAGACAGGAGAGGTTTCTGTAACAATGCTGTAGCTCACAAGATAGAATGAATGCAGGGCTGCATCCCTCAGTGACAGTGAGCAAACAGCACAGTGAAAACATGCTGAGCTCAGATCATGCAGGCAGGCTCTGGCGTCAACAGGCCCAGGTTCAAATCTTGCTCTGCTACTTCCTAGCTTGTGGCCTTTTCAATGTCAGGTTCTCCTGAGTGGAAAAGGTTCAAAAATCCTGGTTTGTGGAGGTGAGGGAGGATTCCCAGAGACTGACAGCTGATGAGGGGCTTCAGAACAACAAAAAACTGGGCACCCAGAGAGGTGTAGATAGCTACATATAGATGGCGGCTATTCTTTGCCTCGTCATTACTAAATCCCAGCCAAAGCATGTGCACTGACATCAGCGACAATAACTAAACTCTTGAGAGCAGACGCCATTCCCTCGATGCCTGAGGAGCCAGGCAGGCAACAGAAATGGGTTTAATGCATCTAGAGGACCCAGGGGAGCTGAAGAAGTGCACGCCCCTGCCTGACAAGGGGCTGCTTCCCAGGTGTGGCTAACTGGCCAGGTCATGGAATGTGGGCCCCACTGGCAAAAACTGATTTTTCAAAGGGAGACACAAATTTGGGTTTTCAGTGTTCAAATTTTAAATGTGGGCAACTCACTCCAGATGTTTCCATCACCACATGGCTGACAAGCATGACCGCAGGCTGGACTCCGCCCTCTGGTCATTGATTTGCAGCCCCAGGGACAGAGGTCCGGGACTATGAAGCACTTGCATAGTCATCAATTCGTTCAACCCTTGCAGCTATCCTGCAAGGTGGGCACTCTGATGACATAGAAAGTGACAAACAAGGCTCTGAGGGTCACACAACACCCCCAAGGTCCCAGAGCTACCAAGTCCTGGGGTCAGAACTGAACTCAACTCTCTGACTCTGGGGACAAAAGCTCCAGAATACCCTACACAGACAGTAAACACGTCGACCACCCCACCACCTCCACCGGCTGCCTCGGTGGACACTGGGATTTTTTTCTTTTGTCCTCTCACATCATAAGTAATGGACTATCCAAAGAAGAGAGCCACTGACCGTCAATACGGCACTAATGGGGATCAAAAGCACTTCACCAAGTATTGGTGAAGACACTCCAGGATGTGCCCCGCAGCTCTACCCCTTGACTCTGGCCCACCCCTCCTGCAGCACCGCCCACCCACCTGCAGACAGAGGTCTGCACCCTGCAGTAGTGGCCTGCGGTTCCAGGGGCCTCCTGACCCCTCCCCTGAGAAGCTGGGAGCTGATGGAGAGGAGTTTGCAGCTGGGACGCCTTTTGTTTCCCCAGCTTTGCTGAGCTCCGTGTAATCCACATCGCAAACAACGGCAGCGTTTATAATGCACAGTCCAACCACTGTCAGTGGCTTACAGAGCTGCAATCATCACGCTCCATTTTAGAACATTTCATCACCCCGAGCAGGAACCCCACACCCATGGGAGCCGAGTCACTTTTCATGGCCAAGTTCAGAGTTGTGTTTCTCCAAGGGCCTCTTACGTCTCCCTAAGCCTGAATCACTGAGGGCTTCCAAAAAGGACGACTCAACTCAGGGGCCTGCTCCAATCCACTCAGCCTCCTGGGAGCGGGAGGAGGTGAGATTCCAGTCCAGCTGTGGAGGTCTTGGGGCTGGCCCCTGCCTAAGCCTCCTGTCCCAGCAATTGAGAGTAAAACGGCCTGTGTGTTTGTGTCCCCCAAATCCACACAGTGAAATCCTAATCCCAATGTGATGATATTTAGAGGGGCCTTTAGGAGGTAATTAGGACCCAGAAGACCGACCACCCAGAAGGCCAGAGAGCTGGCCCTGGCTTTCTCTCTCTGCCACATGATGACAAAATCATGGCTGTCAGCAACCTAGACGAGGGGTCCCACCAGAATCGTGCTGGTGTCCGGACCTCAGACCGCCAGCCTTCAGAACAGCGAGAAATGCTGATGGGTCACACCTCAGAGGACACACCCAGACCACAGCCCAGGAACCTTCGGGATACCGCACTCTCAGGGCTCCCACAACAATGGAGGCAGGGTGGGGAGAGCTCCCGTGGCCCTGGAGGGGCGACGTACCGGGACGATTAATAGAGTAGAGAAGAAATTGCAGAGGAATTCCAGAAGGAATGACTCCGAAGGCCGCATCTTCCCGTCGATATTTATCATCTTTGGAACTTCTGGAACGAGGCTTATAGCAGCTTTGAAAAAAGCATCAGCTGTGAGAGAAGAAAAGTCAGTATGAGAACTCGGGGAAGGCCAGGGGGGTCCCTCCTCACAGGGCCTGGAGGGAGCTTGAGTCCCGGAAGGAAGTCTGGCCACACTGAGGGCCTAGCGCCCCTGGGGCCCAGCGGAGAGTGTGGCCAACCAGCAACACGGCAGCTCAACTGCCTTTAGATCAGGGACAAAAACAGGATTTTTTTTTTTTTTGGCGAGGGCACTCGACCCCTGAGCCCCATCCCCAGCCCTATTTTGCATTTTATTTAGAGACAGGGTCTCACCGAGTTGCTCAGCACCTCGGTGTTTTTTTTTGTTTGTTTGTTTTTTAAGTTGTAGATGTACACAGTACCTTTATTTGTTTATCTTCATGGGGTGCCAGGGATGGAACCCGGTGCCTCACGCATGCTAGGCAAGCGCTCAGCCACGGAGCCACAACCCCAGCCAGCACCTTGCTTTTGCTGAGGCTGGCTTTGAACTCACAATCTTCCTGCCTCAGCCTCCCAAGCCACTGGGATTACATGCATGTGCCACCGTTCCCAGCCAGGTAGGGGACTTTTACAGAGAGGCTAGAAGTGACAAGTCACCTGGGCTGAGGGCCCAACCTGGGATGGCTCATGGACCCCACAGCCACCACAGGAGAGTGTCGCTGTCAGCAGGGCCACTCTGTGTATGAGAAAGAAGGAGTGGGACAAGGAGGGACCCACCTAGCAGCAGTGACCTGTGTATGTGGCAGGTCCCAGCACACATGGCGGAGCCACTGCTGAAATCCTGGATTGTGTGAGGCTTTAGCACATGCCATTTTTATTAAAGAAATAACCACTGACATGCCTGAAGCAATGTCCGCGTGCACACATGTGAACACATGCACACAAACACCACGTAGTTTTAGAGACTCTCGACTAGGGAACAGTTCCGGAAATATTTTAAGAGATGAAATAATCTATAAAACAAGAAGGCTTCAAAACACAGAAGGAAAGGATAAAGTTGGGGAGGGGAAGTCAATGCAATGGGAGGGAGAGTCCTTTCAAGAACTGCCTGAGTATCCACGGTGAGAATTAGACTCAAGGTCAAGACTCCGACCCGATGTTGAAACCTTAAACTACCCAACAAGATCAGATGCGTTCCGGTCCAGATCTACTTCCACCGTGGAATGCGGTCCACTGGGGCAGAGAGAAGACCGCGCGTCTGGAGCCGGGGGGTGGGGGGGGTGGGTGGCTCGTCTTCAAAGGAAAGCCGCTCCTCACAGGCTTTCTGCAGGACTCAGCTCTGCTCTGCAATCATCCGCGCCAGGCGCCTCCAGATCCAGCGCTCGGCAGCCTCGCCACGGCCTCCCGAGCACAGCCAGTAGCCAGCAGGGAACAGGACTCTCATGGACAGTGTGCATGCTCAGAGGGACGGGGAGGTCCACCTCCCAGAAGGACTGAGGCTGCAGGGTCCTCTATCTTGTTGACAAGTGGCAAGAGATGGCACTGCTCTGGAGCCCTTAGGACCTCCTGGGGTGCCTGTAAGTCACTCACGTTTGGAGCCCTCGAGCAGTCCCGGGAGACGCTGTGGTCACGTCCAACCTCAGCTGGGGAGGGGAGCTCAGAAGGCGAGGGGCAGCTTAAATCACCCAGGCACGGGAAAGTAGAGTCCAGTGGGTTCAAAGGCCACCACCCTCACCTTTGCTCAGCCAGCAACTCAGATTGTTTTTTAATCAAGAAACACATGCCCGTGAGTGCAATAATCTGATAAGAGGTTGATTCAGAACATATGAAGAACTCCTACAACATGACGATGACAAAGACAGGCAACCTGATCAAAAAATGGCAAGAACCAGAACACACCTGACCAAAGGAGATATACAATGGACATACGAAAACACTCAACACCACCAATCAGAGAAACGCAAATCAAAGCCACAGTGAGATGTTGCTTCATGCTCATTAAGACGGCGTTTACCAAAAAAGGGGAAAAAAGAGAAGTGCTGGAGAAATTGGGTCTCTCAGCACCACTGGTAGGAATGTACAAAGGTGCAGCTACTATGGCAAACACTATGCAGGTCCCTCCAAAAACTGAACACAGAATGACCCCCAAGACCCAGCAGCAGCATCTCAGAAAGACCTGCACGTTCACATTTACTGCAGCATCATTTGTGATGGCCAAGAGGTAGAAGCGACCCAATACCGTCAAATGAGTAAATAAAATGCGGTCCATGCACACAGATTATTACTCAGTCTTAAAGAAGGAGGAAATCCTATAAACTGGCACTTCGTGCAGGAACCTTGGGGACAGGACGCCAAGCGAAACCAGCCAGTGCAGGACACTGTACGATTCCACTTTTATGAGGCAGCTGGAGTCATCAATCATGGAAACCAGACAGAATGTGACACCAGGAACTAGGGGAGGGCAGGTGGGGGCTGCTGGCTAACGGGTGTGAGGGGGCAGGCATTCATGGGTAGAAGAGGGCGAGCGGGTTTTACAAGATGCAAAGTCCTAGAGCCCCGTTGTCCACAGTGTGAACGCTGCCCAGTCAACACTGCTAAACCAAACACTTAAAATGGTTAGAAGGGCAAATTTTACGTATTTACCTCAATTTAAAAAAGAGTAAGAAATAAAAAAAGAAATGTAAGTCCCAGCTTACGGGGACAGGGAACGGAATCGTGTCCCTTCGCCCAGAGCACCTGACAATAGGGAGGAAAGCCTGAGCCACCTGGCAGGTGGAGTATGGAGCAGGGGTGGGTGAGGCAGGGGAAGAGGCAGGGCACCATGGGGAGGCTGAGCCAGAGTGGCAGCGGAAGACATGTGACGCAGACACACGCCAGGCACTGGGCAGAGATGCAAGCTCTCCTTGCACGTAAGGTCAATGCAATGCGAGAGGTCGCTTCTCATTTTCACACCTGAAGACTGAACAGAGGCGAAGTCTGAAACCAGGTCAGACTGCAGAGCCTCAGTGGCCTCTCTTAAGGTGGCCGTTTTGTGCAGTGATTCTTGTCAAACCAAAGGGGAGATGGGGCCGGACTTCCTGAATTTGGGGGTCCTTTTTAAAAAACGCGTGTAGCTTGTTGCTTTCTCTCTTTGCTTTGACTGCTGGGAAACTCAGAGCTAGTTTTCCTCTTTGGTTGGAAAAGGAAACCCAGCCCTGATGTTACCCACTTCAGCCTTCGCTTCCGATTTAATTTCTTTCCAATCCCAGCCTGTGTGTTTGTGGTATGTGGCTTTATCACATCAAAAGTCTTTTAGTGTAAAAGTCACCTAAAAATCAAGTTGGGAAGTAGGTTGGGCAGCATAAAGCCAGGCACGGAGGTGTGGGCCTGAAATCCCAGTTATTCAGGTGGCTGAGGCAGGACAATCACAGGCTCCAGGCCATTCTGGGCAACTGAGGGAGGCCTCGTCCAAAAAATAAGATGCAGCATGTTCATAACAGCCGCCTCCACCCGAGGCCTCCACAGGAATGGCTCTGCTCTCCTGGAAGGCAGCGAGGTTCAGCTGGGCCTTTGACTTGAGGGCCTACTGAGCTTCACAGCGCCACGGTCTTCTCTTCCAGTGACCCCACATTTCACCAAAGAGCATTTAACTCTGCATTCACCAGCTGAGCTGACCACCCCTTAAGGACTAGATGAGGAAAAGTCAGAAGCTGAAAACAAAAAAACAAACTACCCAATTCAAGAATGGACAAGGAACTGCCAAGATGCTTCTCCAACAAAGTCGTCTGAATGCCCACGAGAAGGTGCCATTAGAGAAGCGCACGTCAAATCCACGAGGCCACTTTCCCCCACGAGGAAGACAGCTGCCGGCAAGTGGTGGGGAAGTTGGGAACCTGGTGCCTTGCTGGTGGGAATGCAGAATGGTGTGGCTGCCGTGGAAAAGTCTGGCTGTTCCTCAAAAAGGCTGGGGTGGTGGCTCAGTGGTAGAGCGCTTGCCTGGCATGTGTGAGGCACTGGGTTCCAGCTCAGCAACGCACGTAAGTAAATAAAAGTCCATCGACAATTTTAAAAAGTCACACGCAGAACCGACGGCTGACCCAGCAGTTTCCCTCGCAGTGCATGCCCCAGATAAGCAGCAGCAGGACTCGGACAGACACTTGTACACCAAAGTTCACAGCAGCATTATTCACAACAGTCAAAAGGCAAAAACAACCCAAGTGTCTGTCAGCAAATGACCAGATAAAATGGAGACCTAGGATTAAATGGGAGATTAGCCTTAAAAGCGAATAAAAGTCTGACACAACACGGATGAAGCCGGAGGACATCATGCCAAGCAAAATAACTCCAGAAGTGAGCCCTCGGGTACGCGTACCTAGAGCAGGCAGATCAGAGAGCAGGAGGGAGGGAGGGGAGGGTACAGATCCCGTGGGGGAATGAGATGCCCTGGAAGGGACACGGGTGATACTGCACAGCGTCATAAACTTACTGCACTGAACTGTAGTTAGGATGGTCAGCTTTATCTCTGGTATACTTTACACAATAAAGAAGAAAAAGAGCCCCACTATCCCTGATGTTACCGCCTTCACAGAGCCTGTCCTCCTTCCGCAGGAGAAGCCCACTGCCCCCCACCTGGTGGGCTGTGCTTTCCAGTAAAACCCTAGGATATCGGGAACCAAGAGCTCTCCTCGGGGAACTAAAACTGCTCCCAGCAACTTGAGTTTTTTTCCATTTATGTGTGTATTGCTGAGTGGCCCAGACAATGTGCCTACTATATGTCTCATTTAAGAGAGCAGTTTTGTCCCCTGCCCTTGGCTAGCCTCACCGGCTCCACCCAGTTTTTATTCTGGAGGAGGGAGCTAAAATAAACAGCCATTTTAGGCTCGGGCATGCTGGGTTCCAAAGCAGTTTTTTTAATTTCCATCCCCAGAAGACAGGCCCCATATAGAAAACACTGTCTGGGAGACTTCTCAGTGTTAGCTTTATAGTTATAACCCAGATCTGACGGCATGCAAAGACAGGTTTTCCTCCAAGATTAGAGCTCTGAATGTCAACATCATTCTCTTTTAACCGCCCCACCCCTCGCCCTCGCCCCA